GGTAAGTACACCCGTGTCGTGCAATGCCCGCGGAGGACAGAAGAGACTGTCAGATCCCCTGGAACTAGAGTTATGAACAGTTGTCAGCTGCCATGTGGGTGCTGGGATTCGAATCCAGGTCTTCTGCAAGAACACCCAGTATTCTTAACCGCTGAGCCATCTCTCCAGCCCCCCTTCCTTCCTTCTTTCCTGCTATAAACAATGAGAAAAATGCTTGATGGTTATTTTCTAAATAAAGAAGTAGCGACATATAGTTCTGGTAACTTGTATTTGGTTCATGAACTGACCCTAATAGTTTCCAGTTTCAAAAATCACAGCAAAGGTCTTGGTGACATGCTCACTACTGACGTGTAGGACTCTACAGATGGCAAGCACATCACTGTTTGTTTCTGTACCAGTAAGAAAAAGAGGCTGAAGCACCTCAACTCTTTATATATTTCAGACTAGGATTCAGACCAGAGCTAGCCTGAAATCGTTTCCAATGGCCAAGACTCGGACAATCTGAAGCAACAGCATAAATGACAAGAGTGTGGGATTACAACCCTCAGGATAAAATAAATAGGAAGTCCTCACTGCTATAAGTCAATCACTAGATAAATAAAGGGAGAGAAGAAACTGTTCTTTCCTACAGAAGAATTCTGATGAATAACTAGAATGGAGGAAATATGGAATGGTTCTAGGTAGAGTTGTCACAGACAATATCAACAGATGTCCAAGTTAATGAAGAAGGCCTGAAGAGAAACAGGCCATTTGCATAGCCTCCAAGTTCTGCTCAAGTACTTAGGAATAACAAAAGGACAAACAGCACCCTTGCAGTGAGAAGCATAGCTACTTCACCATAACCAAAGTTAGTGTCTGCAGGAATGAAACATCAGTATCACAAAAACCCTTATGTGATACACTAGGAAAGACACACACACTTGAGTGGTATTCCTACCAAAAATGCCTAAGCCTCAATTTCACCATGAGAGAAAGCATTAGATATCTCCAAATTGAAGGCATTTTACAAAATAAGTGGGTGTTTCTTTTAAAAAATGTCAAGATCACCACTGGGGATGTACTCAATGGCAGAAAGCTTGACCTACGTACATGATGTCCTGGGTTCAAACCTAATAGTGGCAAACAAAATGAAACAAAACCAGCAACCATTGACCTGAAGGGATACTGGCAATACATCAGGGCTGACAAGATGGCTCAATGGGTAAAGGCATCTGCTGTCAAGTCTGACAAAGGAGCTTGATCTCTAGGACCCACATGTTGAAAGGGGACAGCCAACTCCTTCAAGTTGTCCTCTGACTTCCACTTACGCACACTGGTACTCCCCCCAAATAAATAAATAATTTTTTTAACTGTCAGTCAAGGGGCATGGTGGCACACGTCTTTAATCCCAGCACTCTGGAGGCAAAGGCAGGCAGATCTCTGTGAGTTCAAGGCCAACCTGTTCTACATAGTGAGTTCCAGGCCAGCTGGGAGACCCTGTCTCAAAAAAAAAGATCAATCAATAAATAAATGAAAAAATAACAATAAAAATGTCAGTCATAAAAGCCAAGGAAAGACTAAGAAATGTCGCAGATCAGAGAAACCTAAAGAAATGTGAAAACCATAATGTAGCCCTCCTAAACAGAAAAGGTTTATAAGGAAGAGAAAATGGTTAATCTGTAAAGTCTTCAGTTTTCTAGAGTCGTAAAGTCTGTAGTATTATCTATTACTAGTGCTAATTTCTTAGTTTGATACTTTTACTATGTCATAAAAGGTACTAACATTAGGAAAAGTTGGATGGCAGGTGTTTGGGAAATCTCTAGTACTACTTTTATGAGCCTAAAAAATGATTTTAAAATAATCAAAGCAGCCGGGTGTGGTGCACGCCTTTAATCCCAACACTCCAGAGTCAGAGGCAGGTGGATCTCTGTGAGTTCAAGGACAGCCTGGTCTACATAGTGAGTTCCAGGACAGCTGGGGCTACAGGGAGACCCTGTCTCAAAAAATCAAAGCTAGAATAGGGATTAGGATCTGAAGATAATGGGCTGAGAACAACTCCAAGTGTTCTGTTCAGTCCCTCCTCACTGTCACCATGACTAGATTTACAATCACCTAGGAGACACAGCTCTGGTCATGCCTGTGAGGGGTTTCCAGAGAGGTATAGCTAAGGAGGGAAGACCTACCCTGAATATGAATAGACCAAACCATGGTCTGGGATCCTAGACTGAATAAAAAGGACAAAAGGAGAAAGCGAGCTGAGCACATGCATCCATCTCTCTGCTTCCTGACTACAGGCGACATGACCACCATGTGCAGTTTATGCAGTGCTGGAAACTGAACCCAAGACTTCCATCATGCTAGGCAAACACTCTACTAACTGAGCTGTTTCCAGCCTAAAGCTTAGGACTTTTTAAGAAGGAAATCATGTACCCACTTTCTCCCTTCCATTCTTCCTTCATATAGACAGCACTGTTGGCCAGTTTTGACCATGCTGAATGTGACAACTCTGACTAGTTTTCTGCTTGTTCTTGTTTAGGAAAAGGTCTTGCTATATTTCCAGGCTGGTCATGAACTCCACAAGGAGCTAGAATTACAGCATGCACCCCACTGCCCAGCATCCCTGTCTAGTTTAGAAGGCAGTTTCTTTATGGTTAGGCTACCAAATAGAGACATTTAAGTTCATTTGTTTCATTCAACTTTTTAGGGATTGCTTTGCACAATATTTTGTATGTGTATTCACATGCACATGTATGAGTATAGAGACCAGAGAACAACCTCATGTGTCATTGCACAGGCACAGGTAGGCTGGCTGGCCAGCAAGCCCTAGATATCCTCATGCCTATCTCCCCAACTCTTGGATTTTAGGTCTCCACAACCATGCCTGGGTTTTTACACAGGTTTCAGAGACCAAACACGGGTCCTCTAGCACTCTATTGACTGAGCTATCTCTTCGGCCCTACAAAATATTTTAATTATTTGACACACCAAGCTCTGAGGAATTCATACTCTTCACCAGCAGACAGGCTCTGCTCTTCCTGTTTTCCCAGCATTGGCCAACACTCCTACCAATATCCCCAAATAGCAGCGTCCCTGGAACCCACTCTTGAATTTTTCCTCTCCTTTTCTCTACTCTCATCTATTATTAATTCTCATTCATCTCAAATCTGTCTCAGCTCTTGCCATCAGGCCTGGCTTCACTTGGAGTCTTGGATCTTTTCTTCCCAGGTTAGAGCAGCAACATCCAAACAACTTCCGGGCCCTGAGGCTTGGCAGTGGTACAAGATTTACCTACATAGCCCTGCAGATACCTGTTAGGGAAGTGAGGTCTCTACACTGTGAAGATACAAAGCCAAAGGGAACAGACCGTCTGCCCCTTCGCCTGTTGCCAAGAGCAACCCTGTACTGGTTTCTTCTGAGTCCAACCTGAGCCCCACCTGACCACCCCCAGCGGCCAGGCATCTGGCTTCTCTAGACCTTCAGCACATTCAAATTGTTTTTGAATTTTTTTCTTCAAATGGAATATTATAAAGAACTTAATGCAAATATCAAATATGTCTGTTGTTTTACTATATATAACATATTTTATACACATATGCGTATCTTAAACATGGATAATCCCAGTGTGCAAATTTCCAATGTTTACTTTATTGATCCTGCAGGTCATCATGTGGACAAAACAACATCCCAAACTGAAATGAGGACAATTGGTAGAATGATAACCATCACTGGTTGACATGTGAGCAGAATCCTAAGTGCTTTGTGTGTGTCAACTTTTCAGTCCTTTCAGCAATGCACTCTGTAAAGTGGAATGGAGAAATGCAAGCAACATGCCTACAGTTACACAACAGGTGGCAGAGCTGAGGTCTGAATTCAAGGTTGTTCGACTGCACAGCTCCCCTGTGTTATATATCTCCTGGGGCAAGAGAGATGACTCAGTGGTTAAGAGCACTCACTTCTCTTCCAGAGGACCTGGGTTTGGTTTCTAGCACCCACATGGCAACTCACAACTGCCTGTCACTCTAGTTTCAATGGATATGACACTCTCTTCCAGCTTATATGGGCATCAGGCATGTATGTGGTGCACATGCAGAAAAACACTCACACACATAAAATAATAAATCTTTTTAAAGTTTTTTTTCACCCTTGTCAGGTATAGTGACACACATCTGAAATTTCTGCACTCAGGAGGCTAAGACAAAAGAGTTGTGAGATTAAGGGTAGCCTGGACTATATAACAAATTCCAGGGCTGCCTAAGCTCAAAAGAAATAAAAAAAGGAAAGAGAGCGGGAAAGAGAAAGAGAGAGGAAAGAGAGGGAGGGAGAGAGAGAGAGAGAGAGAGAGAGAGAGAGAGACAGGGAGAAAGTGAGAGGCAGAGACAGAGGGAGAGAGAAAGAGCGAGAGAGACAGAGACAGAGAGACAGAGAAACAGAGAGACTAGTTTGAGGCATGCCTGTAATCCTGACACTAGGTAAGGTGGAGGCAGAAGGTTTGAGGTTTGCAAGTTCAATGTTAGTCTGGGTGACACAGTGAATTCAAGGCCAGCCTGAACACAGTGAAATCCTATCTTGAATCCCCAGGAGCTAGGGATGTAGGGATATAGCTTTATGGTACAGCACTTGCCTATCAGGAACCTTGGGTTCAATCCCTAGCACCAAAAGCAAACAAAGTCGTCCTTCTGAACTTTGACTTATGTGGCCTCTTTGTTGTGCTCCTTTCCTTTCCTACCAGCCTGTCTTGAACCATCCTGGCCTCCAATTCTCTTTTGAGCAGACAAGCCTTTTTCTGCACTGCTCAGCGCTGATCTCCATATGTCTTACCTCTGCTTCAGCCGAAGTTTCACCCCTCCTGACCACGTTGCTTTCCTGTGCTGGGGGCCAGAGGTGAGCTGCTCTGGGTTGAAGGAGTTAGAGGCACTTGGATCTGCATGGCCTGGGTCTGCATACACATCTCTGTTAAAAATAAGAAAATAAGAAGCTGAGCATAATAGGTTTCAGAGTGAGGAGCACAGAGGAATCTCACTGGGAAAACACACGAAAACAGACTGGAGGCAGATAAAGCAGCGAAGCTAGGTACAAGAACCATACTTGCCCCAACAAAGTTCTCTGCCCTAAAGAAGGCAAATCCATTACTGAGGTCTTCTACATTTTCTCATTACTGAGGGTCTTCTACCTTTCCTGTCTAGGTTTTTGTGGCCAATCAAGTATATTATCTAGTCTTCGAAAATGAAGATTTTTCTATCAAAGATGCATTAACACAGGATTTTGGATGTAGTTCAGTGGCAGAACACTTGCCTGACATGCACAAAGCCAGATTTGTAGTCTTCAGGGGTTGAGCCCAGGGCTTGTAAGCACTAGACAAATGTTCTACTACTGAGCACACCCCCAGCCTCAGTTTGACTATTATAATTCAGTGCAGGAAGGTGAATGAAAATTTGAACTGGTTGGTTTCTCAGCTCGCTGCATGGCACTGGATCTCAAAGTGTCACAGCCCCTTGCTCTGTTCAGTGGGTGGGCACTCAGAGGCACATGCCAACTCTTGAGCTCGAACTACTTCAGATTGTTTAGATGCCACTGCATTGGGAGGCAAGGCTTCTGTGCCATCATTTAAATCCAGCCTCCTACTCCCAGGCCCTAACACCATTCCCATACCTCCTCCCCTCCACACTCCAGGAAGCCAGAGAAATATTTCAAGCCCCACATTGCCAATGCATCCCACTATGGGAATGAACATGCTCCTTCTTAGGAGTCTTGGGACCAGATTCCATACTCTCGGTGTCTTTTCTTTATCAGACTCCCTGCTTCCAACTCTGAAGTGGATTTTAAAAGCTTATTGTTAGTATTACTGTGTGTGATGTGCATGTGAGAGTGTGGGTGTGTATGTGAGAGTGTGGGTGTGTATGTGAGAGTGTGGGTGTGCATGTGAGAGTGTGGGTGTGCATGTGAGAGTGTGGGTATGGACATGCTCTGGTGCACAAGTGGTCAATGGGCAACCTTGGGGCATCAATCTCTCCTCCCACATTTTTGAGGCAGGGTCTCTCTTGTTTCTGCTGAGCTGTATATTCCAGGCTAGCTAGCCCAGGAGCTTCCAGAAGATTCTCCCATCTCTGCCTCTCATCTCCCTCACAGGAGTGTTGGGATCACACATATACACCACTGTATCCAGCCTTTACATGGGTTCCAGGAATCAAACTCGGGTTGTCAGGCTGTGAACAAGTGTTTTTACCCACTGAGCCATCTCTCGAGTCCTGGAAGGGGATTTATCATCCTGTAAGTGGTGTTGGCAGTTTGTCTTCAAGGGTATTTCTAAGCCTCTAAGATCCAACTGCTGTGGCGCATTGAGGCTGTACCCGTATCTTGCATGTGCTTTGGTCAAAGGAGAAGGATTAATGAGCAGCTGTTAAGAATAAGCCTGTCCATCTGGTCTCCTATTTCCTAGTGTATAGAATGGATGTGAAAGAGCCTCTTCCTTAAATCCCAAGGTAAATAAAAAGATTGTTTTGATTTTAGGGTGCTGCAGAGGTGACTGTTTCCATTACTGGGGCAGTATTTTCTCTATACCTTAGTGCTTGCTATGGCCTGAGCAGGGTTTGAAAATTGTGTAGCTGCTATGCAGGTGCTGGGAATCAAACCACCCAACACCCACATGGCATCTAACAACCATTTGTAACTCCAGTTCCAGGGGATCTAATGTCCTCTTATCACTTCCATGGCCACTGTATGACACAGGTGCATTTGCATTAATGCAGGGAATATACTCATACACACAAAATAATATATTTTTCTTTTTTGTCTTTTTGAGACAGGGTCTCCCTGTAGCCCCAGTTGCCCTAGAACTCACTATGTAGACCAGGCTGGCCTCAAACTCACAAAGATCTGTCTGCCTCTGCCTCCCAAGTGCTGGGATTAAAGGCATGTGCCACCATACCCGGCTAAAATAATTTTTTTAAAAAAAAAAGAATAGAAAACCTTAGACAGTGAGCATTAATAGGCAAAAACCTTCTGCAGAATTTATCATGCAATCTTCACAAAACCCTAGAGGTACCAACCAGATAGCAATTTGGCTTAAAATTAAGAAGAAAGTGGAGTCAAAGGCATCTCCTTATCCAACACCCAAATGTAAAGATTTCATGAATGTACAAAGTCTACTCCAACAGTCGGCAAGATGGCTTAGCAGGTAAAGGTGCTGGTAAGTTTGGTGACCTGAGTTCAATCCTTGAGACCCACTTGGAAGAGAGAACCAACTTACACAAATTCTCCTTTGCTCCCGTTTACAAATAAATGTAATTTTAAAAGTAAAAAAGAAAGAGAGCAAGCACACTCTAACACCAGCCACTGGTATTATCCACTCTTCTACAAGGGATTGGGCTTTTCCTTTCCAGGTCTCCCCTTAATGTCCTCTTTTGGGAGGAAACAATCCTAGCCAGGCCTGACCTTTCAGAAAACCTTTGTGGCATTTAATAACTTCCTCATTTTTGCCTAAACCACAAGTGTTGGCTCTGTCCTTTCTGTACTGTGGCTTAGCCTCTGAGATCAGGTCTTTTCTTTTCTCAGTCCCCCTTCCTGGACACACCTAGAGACAGCCACGGGTTGCGGGTGTCACAGGCTATGGGTGGGCAAGAAGAACAAACCATGTGCATGAGGCACATGGGGTCATTTCATCTTTCTAAGGATCATCAACAGGCAGAGACAGCCTCAGCACTGCCCTCTAAAGTCATGGTGGCCAGCCACCTGTCACCTCAGAGGATCAGGGCAGCTGGGTATGAGATTCCTGAAACCCATCTGAACATTTGACTGCAACACAGGCTCCTAATCCCCATTTTTCTTCCTTGAGCTGCTTCTAAGCCAGACAGAGGGACCAAAAATCCAAGTGGGTGAGTTGGAAGACACCACGTGATGTAGGAATCAGATTGGACAGTGCTAGAAGCACTGCCAGCATCCACAGCACACCTTTCCTGCTTCAGCCTTGTCTGGAAGAATCTGGCCAACAAATTAGCACTTTTAAACTCATATGTGCTAATGAAAAAGAACCCCACAGTGACTCCAAAGGCCTAGAGTAAACATGGGGGCCTGTTACGTCAGAGCCCTGGTTCATTACTTTGCCCTTTTCTCACTTGCCTCATTTGTACACAGAACCACTTACCTGCATGGTGAATGTCTATCTCATTAAACTCCATCTCCAGAATATATGTCTCCCCACCCACCACAGGCTCCTCTGCCACTGGTAATTGACAGTCCACAGGCACTTTGGTCTCAGGCACTTTGGTCTCATCTGCCAAAGGTGTCCTTATGGTACCACATGCCTCAGGCAAACTGTTCCATGTCGTTCTTACAAAAGGATATGTATGTTTTCCCAAATGTTGGGAGTTATTCCTGAAACTTCTTTATGAAGAAGAACAGATGAGGAATATTTTTCTAAGACGTGTTTCCAGGAGAACCCACTAAGACAGAGAGGTTGTGTATCTTGGCTCAGATCACACACGGACTCATATTCGCTTGGGACTAAAATCACAGACAACCACTCTCTTCTTCCTTTCAGTTCAGCAGTTTCAAAATTTTTCAGTATATCATAAATTATGCAGACCTTAGAATTAGTAACCCAAATTTGGTGGAGTGATGGTGATCATGGGATCATAAACTGAAAATTACCAAATGAGTTTTGTTTTTTTTTTTTTTTTGAGACGGTCTTCCTGTAGCCCCAGCTGTCCTGGAACTCACTATGTAGACCAGGCTGGGCTTGAACTCACAGAGATCTGCCTGCCTCTGCCTCCCAAGTGCTGGGACTATAGGTGTGCACCACCACGCTTGGTCTGTAGCCGCAGCTGGCCTGGATTCCCTAATGGAGACCAGGCTGGCCTCGAACTCACAGAGATCCACCTTGCCTCTGCCTACGAGTGCTGGGATTAAAGGCATGTGCCACCACGCCTGGCTCAAATGAGATTACTTTTTACTTAAAAGACACCCCCAAAATACACTGTCAGCACCCTGTAATCAGCAAAATGGCTTCAAGTGAAAATACTAAAATAACCACATGGCTATCCAGCTCCACAGGCCATGTCCCTGAAGGAGCCATCCCTGCTAGCTTGTCCCCAGGTTTCAGTGTGGACTTCACTTCTTCCAGGAAGCCTTTCCCAACAAAGTAGGAGTGAAAACAGGTGTGGCCCCTACCCCTGCCCCCAGGCACAGAGCAGCACAGTAAAGTACCATTCACACCATCCTCCAACTATGAGCTAGTAGGTTCCTCTTCCACTACTCAAGGAAGATAAGCAGCCCCAGCTAGCCAGCCAATCAATATTTGTTGAATGAATGAAGTACTGTTCAATGTTCAATAAATCTGTAACCTAACTCACAACTTGTCAGTAGCACTAAGCAGACAGACAGCTCTTGGGGTTGTTCTACACTGTTTCTTGCTATTCTCTGCCTCAATCACAATATGACAAGCATAAGTGATAAAACTAGGAATAAAAATAAAAAAATATTTTTTAAAAAGAAGGGACTGAGGAGGTGGCTCAGTGGTTAAGAGCACTGGCTGCTCTTGCAGAGGACTTGGGTTCAGTTCCCAGCACCCACGTGGGGGCTCACAGCCATCTGTAACTCCAGTTCCAGGGGATCCAATGTCCTCTTCTGACCTCTGCTAGCACTGCACCACACAGATGTACTTACACATGTAGAGGTAATATATTCACACATAAAATAAAGTAAAAACAGTAAAATCTTTAAAAAGCAAGTGATAAACTAGGAGTCTAAGCTAACATGAAAAGGGTGAGCAGAGCTGAAGCACTATATGATATGAAACTACAAGGAGCCACTGTGGCCTCTTTCTCCCTCACAAGAAAGAAACAAGAGCACCAGGCGTGGCGGCACCCTTCTTTAATCAGAGCACTTACTTGGGAGGCAGAGGCAGATGGATCTCTGTGAAACTGAGGCCAACCTGGTCTACATGGTTCCAGGTT